GTGTAGGCAGGCGGGATGATTTCTTTAACACTACGGACTGCAATTCCAAATTCCACAACCTAATGTTATGTTTGTGGCTCTGAAGACTATTTCCCCACTGCCCGGCCTTAGACCAGGCCTATGTTGGAAATGAAATATTACAGTCAACAACTATTAGGAAGAGCACAGAAAATATACTGAATGAAAGGTTTTTTTCTTCTTTAAGATTTACCTGTTGTGTGTTCACGAGACAGTGACAAGCGACCACCAAGACCAGGATGGTAGTACCAATGTCACAGCGGCAGTGACAAGCGACCACCAAGACCAGGATGGTAGTACCAATGTCACAGCGCAGTGACAAGCGACCACCAAGACCAGGATGGTAGTACCAATGTCACAGCGGCAGTGACAGCGACCACCAAGACCGGATGGTAGTACCAATGTCACGGCAGTGACAAGCGACCACCAAGACCAGGATGGTAGTACCAATGTCACAGCGGCAGTGACAAGCGACCACCAAGACCAGGATGGTAGTACCAATGTCACAGCGGCAGTGACAAGCGACCACCAAGACCAGGATGGTAGTACCAATGTCACAGCGGCAGTGACAAGCGACCACCAAGACCAGGATGGTAGTACCAATGTCACAGCGGCAGTGACAAGCGACCACCAAGACCAGGATGGTAGTACCAATGTCACAGCGGCAGTGACAAGCGACCACCAAGACCAGGATGGTAGTACCAATGTCACAGCGGCAGTGACAAGCGACCACCAAGACCAGGATGGTAGTACCAATGTCACAGCGGCAGTGACAAGCGACCACCAAGACCAGGATGGTAGTACCAATGTCACAGCGGCAGTGACAAGCGACCACCAAGACCAGGATGGTAGTACCAATGTCACAGCGGCAGTGACAAGCGACCACCAAGACCAGGATGGTAGTACCAATGTCACAGCGCAGTGACAAGCGACCACCAAGACCAGGATGGTAGTACCAATGTCACAGCGGCAGTGACAAGCGACCACCAAGACCAGGATGGTAGTACCAATGTCACAGCGGCAGTGACAAGCGACCACCAAGACCAGGATGGTAGTACCAATGTCACAGCGGCAGTGACAAGCGACCACCAAGACCAGGATGGTAGTACCAATGTCACAGCGGCAGTGACAAGCAACCACCAAGACCAGGATGGTAGTACCAATGTCACAGCGGCAGTGACAAGCGACCACCAAGACCAGGATGGTAGTACCAATGTCACAGCGGCAGTGACAAGCGACCACCAAGACCAGGATGGTAGTACCAATGTCACAGCGGCTGTGACAAGCGACCACCAAGACCAGGATGGTAGTACCAATGTCACAGCGGCAGTGACAAGCGACCACCAAGACCAGGATGGTAGTACCAATGTCACAGCGGCAGTGACAAGCGACCAAGAAAACTCAAAATCAATCCCACAGTATATGAGCTGTAACTGATTTAGAAGTCCAGTAAGATGAAAAGAGAGACTTGTGCAACATTTGGGAATCTTTACCAAGGAAACTTGACGGCAGCCAGTGACTTTCTTCAGTCCAATACAGAGAAGAACGGTGGAAGATGAAGAGAATGATGCAATCTGTCCCTTAGCCTGGAGCTGATGTGCTCAGTCCAACTCCAGGATGAGGAACTCATTATCTCATACTTCTCATCTTTCACAGTTCTTCTCTGTATTTGACTGAAGAAGTCACTGGCTAAATAAACGTTTCTTCGATAGAGATTTCCAAATGTTGCACAAATGTCTCATTCTTCACAGTACATGCACCATAGAAGAGCAAGTTAAAATATATATATATATATATATATATATATATATATATATAATATATATTATATATATATATAGCACATGGCAACAACTTCGTCCTGACCATACATAGTGGCGGCTGCCCCAGACCTATAAAACTAATATTCCTGGGTGACCTCAGGGATAGGTAAAACTCCATACAGACTAACAGGTTTACTTACAAAAATCTTACCAAGTTGTTGGAGATCGGTAGCCAATTTCACTCTAAACACTCACTGGACCTCATTAATAGGATTAAAACCGTTATCACCAAGAATAAGAAACTACCCAGTTCTGACATTATCATCCTGTTTGCTAATGTATCAACCATATATGTGGTCACACTAGTACATAATAAATCAATAACTTAGCTTTTCTAGTGGCCATCAGCGGCTCTCAACCTTATCAAGCTGCGTATCAATTACAATTGTTTCTGGTTTGGGAAAAACAATTTTAAGACTTACCATTTCATACCTGGAGGTTATTCCGGGGATCAACGCCCCCGCGGCCCGGTCCACGACCAGGCCTCCCGATGGATCAGGGCTTGATCAACTAGGCTGTTACTGCTGGCCGCACGCAGTCCAACGTACGAGCCACAGCCCGGCTGATCCGGTACTGACTTTAGGTATCTGTCCAGCTCTCTCTTGAAAACAGCCAGGGGTTTATTGGTAATTCCCCTAATGCTTGATGGGAGGCTGTTG